TGCCCTTCATAAGTATTGGAACAGTAAAGACAAAATTGCTCTGTTTCCTGTGGAGTCAAGAAATCTGTAAATATGATTAAAAGATGAATATGAGACAAAACTACAGAATGTCACATTTTATTATTGGGTGTTTCTACACATAAATGTTTTACCAGCTAAGAAGATCAGCACTTTTACAGTTCATCCCACTCTCTGATGAGAGCAAAAGTATTGGAACAGTTGCCTCACATGTCTTTCTGATCAGCTGTCTCCTGTTGCATTAATTGTTCAGTTATTAAAAGCAGGGAATGTGTCGTATTAGTTATATACATTGCTTTTGCATTCTGAGTCTTGCATTCGACGACGACACACACAAACCAGGATGAAGACGAGGGGGCTGACTTTGAGAGAAAAGCAAGCAATTTGGCAATTTGAGCTATAGCAAAAACAAAGGGCATGAAGAAATCAAGAGTTTGGAAACCACCGGCGACATCAGCAACAACAACAACCTGATCAGTTGAGAATAAATAAATATATATATATATATATATATATATATATTCTCCTTGCAAATATAACCTACTTAATCATCTCTTGTAGCAGATATGGTAATACTCATCTGGGCTCAAACTGTGAGCTCTTTTGTCTGATTCTGCATTTGTATTGCATTAATTTGCCTCCATCTCCAGCCAGTCATTTGTCATCTGTTCTTCCTGTGAGCTCCTTTAGTCTGTCTGACATCTTAGAGCAAATAGAGGGGCCAATACACATACTCAGACACTGGGCCCTCAGTGCTACTAGCCCCTCTTCTAATGTTAGTGTGACCAAACAAGGCACGGCAAATCTGGCAATGGAATCAGATAATCACCAACCTGTGAAGAGCCTCCCAATCCACATCCATACCGCAGCCCTGGATTAAACAGTCTGTTTGCCTAATAATTTTAATCTGTGCATCAAGCAGAAGGATGGTGGTCTTCGAATAAACATCTAATCCCTCAGCCCACCCAATGATGATGGGCCCACAGAGAGGGTGATCAACAGAAAGGTGCTTAGACAGAGGATCTGAAAACTCTGTACTGACAGACTCTTGCCAGACTAGGAATGTTTTACAATGTCCAGGGGAATGTACACATGAGGAACAAGGGTGCTACATCAACATGCACATGCAAACTGGAAAGGAGGGTGCGTTCTAAATTCACTATGTCTAGAAGGTCATCGGTAAATCCACACAACAAGAACATCATGTCTCAGCGATAAAGATAATATTAAATGCAAGTAGAGCACATAATCTACATTCATACTAAATTATGTTTACTATATTATCACCTATACTCCAAAGAAGAGACTATCTGTCTGTCTGCCTATCTATCTATCTATCTATCTATATCTCTCTATCTATACATGTCTGCTTATCTATCTATCTATCTATCTATCTATATCTCTCTATCTATACATGTCTGCTGTCCAGGGGAATGTACACATGAGGAACAAGGGTGCTACATCAACATGCACATGCAAACTGGAAAGGAGGGTGCGTTCTAAATTCACTATGTCTAGAAGGTCATCGGTAAATCCACACAACAAGAACATCATGTCTCAGCGATAAAGATAATATTAAATGCAAGTAGAGCACATAATCTACATTCATACTAAATTATGTTTACTATATTATCACCTATACTCCAAAGAAGAGACTATCTGTCTGTCTGCCTATCTATCTATCTATCTATCTATATCTCTCTATCTATACATGTCTGCTTATCTATCTATCTATCTATCTATCTATATACATGTTTATCAATTTATCATATATCTATCATCTCTTTATTAAAATACATTTCTATCTATCTATCTATCTATCTATCTATATCTCTCTATCTATACATGTCTGCTTATCTATCTATCTATCTATCTATCTATATACATGTTTATCAATTTATCATATATCTATCATCTCTTTATTAAAATACATTTCTATCTATCTATCTATCTATCTATCTATCTATCTTATACATGTCTATCTATCTATCTATCTATCTATCTATACATGTCTGCATATCTATCTATCTATCTATCTATCTATCTATATACATGTTTATCAATTTATCATATATCTATCATCTCTTTATTAAAATACATTTCTA